ATCAGCCGTTCCTTGTGCGGCAGCTCCAAAGCCGGCATCCAAAGATGCGACTCCGCGGAGTCATCGACAGCATCATGAGCATCAGCCGCAGTTCTCGTGGCAATGCATGGCACTCCCCGGCCTCAAGGCCAGCATCACGAGCATCAGCAGCACTTCCTGCGACCAAAAAGATGCGACTCCGCGGACTCAAGGCCAGCATCATGAGCATCAACCGTTTCTTGTGCGGCAGCTGGAAAGCCGGCATCATGAGACTCAGTTGCAGTTCCAAAGATTCGACTCCGCAGAGTCAGCGACAGCGTCAGGAGCATCAGCCGCAGTTCTCGTGGCAATGCATGGCACTCCCCGGCCTCAAGGCCAGCATCACGAACATCAGCAGCACTTCCTGCGACGAAAACATACGACTCCGCGGACTCAAGGCCAGCATCATGAGCATCGGCCGCAGTTCCGGTTGCCAATGCATGGCACTCCCGGGCCTTGAGGCCAGCATCACGAGCATCAGCAGCACGTCCTGCGACCAAAAGATGTGACTCTGCGGACTCAAGGCCAGCATCATGAGCGTCAGCCGTTCGTCTTGTGGAAAATAAATGCCACATGCGCATCAGCCGCTGTTCCGGTGGCCAATGGATGACCCCCCCCCCGGCCTTAAGGTCAGCAGCAGTTGCTGCGACCAAAAGATGCAACTCCGCGGACTCAAGACCAGCATCATGAGCATCAGCCGCAGTTCCGGCTGCCAATGGATGGCACAAGATGCGACTCCGCGGACTCAAGGTCAGCATCATGAGCGTCAGCCGTTACTTGTGCGGCAAATAAATATCACTCACCGGCTGGAAAGCCGGCATCGTGAGCATCCGCCGCAGTTCGCGTAGCCAATGGATGGCACTCCCGGGCCTTAAGGCCAGCATCACGAGCATCAGCAGCAGTTCCTGCGACGAAAACTTACGACTCCGCGGACTCAAGGCCAGCATCATGAGCATCAGCCGTTCATTGTGTGGCAAATATATGTCGCTCACCGGCTGGAAGGCCGGCATCATGAGCATCAGCCGCAGTGCCCGTGGCCAATGGATGGCACTCCCGGGACTTAAGGCCAGCATCACGAACATCAGCAGCACTTCCTGCGGCCGAAAGACGCGACCTCGCGGACTCAAGGCCAGCATCATGAGCATCAGCCGCAGCTCCCGTGGCCAATGGATGGCACTCCCGGGCCTTAAGACCAGCATCACGAGCATCAGCAGCACTTCCTGCGGCCGAAAGACGCGACCTCGCGGACTCAAGGCCAGCGTCATGAGCATCAGCCGCAGCTCCCGTGGCCAATGGATGGCACTCCCGGGCCTTAAGGCCAGCATCACGAGCATCAGTAGCACTTTCTGCGACCAAAAGATGCGACTCCGCGGACTCAAAGCCAGCATCATGAGCATCAGCAGTTCCTTTTGTGGCAAATAAATGTCACTCACTGGCTGGAAAACCGGCATCACGAGCACCAGCCGTAGTTCGCGTGGCCAATGGATGGCACTCCCGGGCCTTAAAGTCAGCAGCAGTTCCTGCGACCAAAAGATGCGACTCCACGGGACTCAAGGCCAGCATCATGAGCATCAGCCGTTCATTGTGCGGCAAGCAAGTGTTGCTCACCGGCTGGAAGGCCGGCATCATGAGCATCAGCTGTTCCTTTAGTGGCAAATCAATGCCACTCACCGGCTGGAAAGCCGGCATCATGAGCATCGTACTCCCGGGCCTTAAGGCCAGCATCACGAGCATCAGCAGCACTTCCTGCGGCCGAAAGATGCGACCCCGCGGACTCAAGGCCAGCATCATGAGCATCAGCAATTCCTGTTGTGGCACATATATTCCACTCACCGGATGTGCCTAAGGATGCGAGCCCGCAGACTCAAGGAAAGCATTATAAGCATCAGCCGTTTCTCTTGTGGCAAATAAATATCACTCACCGGCTTGAGAGCCGGCATCATGAGCATCAGCCGCAGTTCCTTTGGTCAATGGATGTCACTCTGTCAACATCATGCTCTTTAACCGCACCTCTCTGGTAATGAACAAATGAAGCTCACCGGAGGGAAGGCCAGCACCATGAGCATCAACCATCCCTTTTATGAACCAGTACTGCGGCCGAGGCATGCTCTTGTGTCTAATAGATGCATCGCACCGGAGGCACACATGATGTCACTCGGCGGCCTTGAAGCCAGCTTCATGAGCATCAGCCGCCTCCTCGCGGCAAAAACAGCAACCGTCTTTTAGCCAATGGCGGGAGCATCATGAGCATCAGCCGGGCCTTTGGTCGCTGACACATGCTCACAGGATTGAACATCATGAGTATCAGCGGCCTTGATGTGGTCAACTCTATGACTTCCCGTCTTAAAAACACGCATCATGCGAATCATCAGCCCGCTTCCGAGCTTCTTTAACCTGCCAATTGCTGAATGACGAGCTTGAGCCCCCTCAGCAAATCCCTCGGCCGGATGTCCGCGCAAAGTTCAAGCCATGCTGATACCCTTTTGCCTGACAGCCTCAACGCCCGCAAATCCCAACTCTCAGGTCAGCATGGGGCCAAAAGCGGGCAACGTCCTGTGCCGGAGCACCGAAAGGCTTCCCCCCTCCGTGCCAGGAGGAATTCTTGGGGTCACGGGCCCGGAACATGCCCTTCTCAACCCTACCCGTGCACCCGAAAGCCAAAACGCCGAGGCACCAATCCAAATCTCCGCGGGCCGGCTGAGTACAACTTGCCCCGACTCGAAATCCTGGCATGTGAACGGAAAGTGGGGCTGAGGGCATTTCAGGGCGTCTGGGATGCGGGTTTTTATTTTCGTGGCATTTCACTTGATTCTACAAGGCCTTGTTTTGCGGATCGGCGGAGAAGCGTACAGATTCGAGGTCTTGCCGAAAACCAACAGGAAGCTCAACCGGAGAGCCTACTAGCCTGCTAGTACACCTGAAGACTTGTAAGCTATCTTATGAGGCAATCCGCGGTGTTGTCCACTTCGCGTCTGTGTCAGAAAGGCACAATTTTGTTCAACGAATGTCGTTGTCAAGCATTGATTCCCACACAACTGCTTGAATCCAGTTCGGAATGTTCAGCACCTCCTCTACGAATATTTGGGCTTGCGAGAGCCACATACATTGTCGAATTTCGATCAAAACCCAATGTTTTCAGCAAGTTCAGAAACTATTGGCGTTAAGAAGAACAAAAAGCACTCAGGTCTTGCTCCTCCGGAAGCTTTTCGAGTGGTTTGCTTCAGAATCCGAATACTTCATTCCAGGTTGCTTCGTAAATCACTCCAAAAATCGCTAGTTACCGTTACCTCACGAGATACAATGATACAGTGATAAGGCCAAGTGCGAAGTCGAATGCCAGTTCAGCCGCCTCGCAGCCAGGTGTCGACACTTCTGTCTTCTGCTTCAGAATACCATGATCCATAATTTCTGCCCTGAACCCTAAACCCTAAACTCCAAGCCCAAAGCTCGAAACCCTGAAACCCTTGTTCACATGTTGCGGCCTTTCCAGGTTTCAAGTCTTTTGCGCTCTTCCCAATTTCAATTTCACGGGCTCATATCCGGCGTCCCATGCCCGGGTCAACGAGCTTGTTGTTTCCTTTCACTCCTGCTGTGTGAAGAAAGGCTTCAATTTAGGTTCGCTACCAGCTGTCGCTTCGGTTTGAGGAGAGCACGCACAGATGTTGATCTTGTGTGGCATGGCGCACGGCTTGAAAGATACATGCTCGCTCAGAACTTCGAGGCCGGAAGAACACCGCCCAGGTCACCACCCACACTGATCCCCACACTTGGGCCCTCGATGTCAAAGTTTATTTCTGGGATTTAAGCACGAAAGCCCACCTTCAAGTACTCTCCGCGCAAGCACAGCAGCCGGCCCTCCTGAAGTGGCGGAACAGGTATCAAAACAAAGGCCGGGATGACTTTGCTTCACGTGCGCTAGGAGCAGCAGATGCTGCTAACCATCATAAGCCCAGCTGCCTTCGCGAGAATCCGCAGACTTTGCGGCAATCGCCCCAGTTGCACAAGCTTGTCCCTGTATGGAAGGAATCCTGCCGCAAACAAGCATAGGTCTGGTGCTTACATGAACTCGCATTTCTTGCCGTGATGTGCGCAAGAGACGCGAACTTTCGATAAAAGGAGGACTACGGCCGAGAGAAGTGCATGACTCTTTCAGTCGCGCTTCAAAGGAACGTAGGCTGCAACCGGAAACCTTAAATTCCCAAGCCCGAAACAGAAGTGCAAACCACCGGTGAGATGCCTCCAGTCGACACGCGGTCGAGTTGCAGCGGGAGTTTGTACTTGACTGAGATCATCCTTAATGAAGAGGCTCTCGGCAGCGCGGCATGAATAGTTTGAAGAACAGAAACAACGATAGGAGCAGTGGCACACCTCCGAAATTTCCTCCTGGTAAGACCCGAAAACCCCCGACGCCCCAGGCCGCAGAGCAGAGCTCGCTACTGAAGTAGCCAAAGCCGCAAAGTCCAGATGCCCTACCTGGAACCCTAAACCCTAACCTCAACCCCAAACCCCAAGCCCGAAACCCAAAAAAAAACGCCAAACTCTAAACCCGCACCTAAGCACTAAACCCCCAAACTCTGAACCCGAACCCCAAACCCTGAACCCGAACCCAAACCCCCAACACCACTTAGGGCACAAGCTGAGCTCCACACTCAAGCAAGGGTGGCCCGGGCAAACGGAGAGCTACGGCCTGAACATAAAAAAAGGCTTAGGGTTTAGGGAAAAGGGAAGGGTTTAGGGTGTAGGGTTTAGGGGTTTAGGGTTTAGGGAATAGTAGCAATGGCAAGAATGACGAATATTAGTCCCTGGGGCCCCTTATCGTAAGTAAGATTGTTCCAGGGTTTCTGATTATAAGTATACCCTTAAGGACTGATTCATCATCATAATGAAAACCATACCAACAGTAATTCATAGTTATCATAACTGTAGTCATAACAACAATATTAATAACAAGAACCTGTCACACTGAAAATATAAACATAGAAACAATTATCACAGCAATATTGGAGACCACAAGAACCACGGTATCTATAGTATTCAACAGTTGCGGGGACGAAGGCATGAACGTGTTCCTTTTTCTAGGAACTCCTTCTTCTCTGCAGCACCCAAAAGGAACCCCAGAAAGGAAGCCTAGAACGCGCCATACAGGAACCCAAAAACCACCAAACCCTTCAGGAACCCTAAACCGGAAACCCGTAACTTCGGAGCCCTTACAGGAACCCTAAACCCTAAACCCGTAACTTCGGAGCCCTTATAGGAACTCTAAACCCTACGAGCCCGTGACTTCGGAACCTTTATAGGAACCCAAAAACCCTAAACCCCACAAAAACCTTAAACCCTGAAGGAACCCTAAACCCTAAACCGGTAACTTCGGAACCCTTTTATAGGAACCCCAAAAACCCTAGACCCTAAACCCTAAAACAGCCTCTGCGCAGGAGCCCTGGGCCTTGGCACCCTTTCTCAGCTCCGATGCCTCTCGAATAGCAGTTAGGTTTCGGGGTTTAGGATTTCGGGTTAGGGGTTTATAAGGGTTTATAGGGGTTTAGGGTTTTGGGCTTCGGGCTTAAGGCTTACATAGGGTTTAGGTTTTAGGAGGAGCAGTAGGAGGCAAAAGCAGAACACTTTGTCTCCTGCGGGAGAGCTGGTGGAAGGCTGTTTCGAACAAAGTTCTTTCAACCCTGAATCCTCGAGCCAGCAATCACAGGTTCTTTGCATTCCAGTCTCGAGCGAACCCCAGACTAACCTTGAGAAAACCACGACTGCCGTACATCGTCACCTTTGGAATCATTCAGGCGGCACAGGAGGTTCGGCAGGAGCTGATTTGATTACACTTGGTACCAGCAAGGTTGGGCCCCCTATAACTTGCTGCATGGCGAAAACCTGTGTGCTTGCCCATGCTTGCCATAATGATACAAGATTAGCATGAAGCGGCACAACTGCAAAAACTAACAACGGTAAGCGTAACAGCACGAATGTGCATCCCGAGCATTTCAAAGCCTCCACACTGCAGATGTTACGAGTGTTGGTACAAACCCGCGACATTGATGTCAACTGCCGTTGGGACTTTAGATGCTGTGCAAGATGTACTGCCAAAGCTACTACCCACCAAAGAGGGCGATCTTTCAGACGGATTCGCTCCGTCGTCCATCTTCAGGCAGTTGTGGGGTCTGGGAAGGATTGGGAGGGCAGCAAAAGTCGGGTTCGAAACGTGAGGGCAAGTGCTTCAACGTACACAGCAGCTTGCATAAGAGTCCGCCTATTGCTCGTGCGAACTATACTTGGAAACTTATATATCAAGCTAGTATCTTATGAGGCTCACGGTTGGCGCACCACCCATGCCGTGCTGCATCCGCCGCCAAAAACAACCCGTTTATGACGATAATAAGGCTGCCGAGAGTTGTGATGAGAGAAGCAGTGTCCATGGGTTCTTTGCTCTATCTTGATTCAATTACTCATGCTCACCAATGCCACCCCACAGCCTGGCAGCGCGTGGGAAAGTGGAACAAAGCCAGGCCTCGGCATGGGGCGGGTGAGCTGCGGCTTGGGATGTCAGCCGATGACAAGTGTCTGTGACACGCCGACGAGGTTTAGGTTTTTTTTTTTTTAACGTGTAATGGCAACTTCACAGAAACACCAGTCCGATAGGACCTACACAAGGTTTAGGGTTTAGGGTTTAGGGTACATCATCTGATGGCAAGGGCGTCTGGCCCCCGGGAACGCGGTTGAAAGGGATGCGGCGAAGCAGCTGGCCCCCGGCGGCACCCACATCGCCTGGCTGGAAGATTGCAACTCCTACCGTGACGTTTAGCAAAGAACTACCTCCAACCGGGAAGGGGGGGCATGGTGGCAGCTTGGCAGCCCGACAACCTCTGTTCTAAAGCTGCTGCAGCAGATAGTAATTACAACCGAAGTAATGATATGCATAAAATTACCTCACCAAGCGTAGCTCGGGCAAAAATTAGAACCAGGCTCTGTAGTTTTAGTAAGCCTGCCAAGAGTAAACAGGAATCGCGGACAAGAAACACAAGGGATAGATCGACAAGTAGAAAAACAACTACAGTAGTTACAGCAAGTAGCATCAAAACTGATCACCGTCTCCATGCCAACAGAATCTTAAAGCGGCTGGCATAATGAGACCGCTAGCTAGAATAATGGTCATGTCATGCCGTGAGAACAAAGAAGCCGCAACCCCAGCCCTTTTACACAGGCCTGATTGGAGCTCGCCCGGTGACACGCGCAAGGCCCCCTGAACCCTAAATCCAGACCCAGAGCCTCCTTTTCTTCATCCTGTGCGATGAAGTCCGTGATGGAGAGCATTCTTCCTGCTGGCCACTTAAGTTTTGTTACACAGGGCTCATGAAGGGCTTAAGGCCTGGTTGGCACGGCAGAGGTGTCCGCTTAGGGCTTAGAGTTTAGGTTCCGATGAACGTTTTTGGACGGTGGGATCGTCGTTCTAATTATGCTTTTTGATTTTTGCGGGCCCTTTTCCTCCTTGCAACAGTTGGAATTCCTACAGTAAGTAATTAGAGAGGGCTTATGGCTGTTCAGAAGTCGTGCTCTTGGGTTTGCAAATTTCATCGTTGACGAGCCACGCGAGCTTAGCCAACACCCGAATCCAATGAGACCTGGCGTAAGTTTTGGCCTCGGACGCGCGGGCAGACCAAGCATGTCTCCAGGCACTGGTCACATGCACGGAGCGGCTCAAGACCACCATGAGGGTTTCACAGGGGGTTCCTTTATGAGGCTTTGCAGGTTTGGGTTTTTAGAGCTGTTAGGGTTCTTGCGAGTTCCCTTTCGTGAAGCACTACGAACTTGCAAGGCACACCAGCGACCCGAAAGGGATGCGAGTTGAAACAAGTGTGTTAACGCAGTCGGCAACGCAAGCCGACTTCAGAATAGCCATACAGACTTTTTGATTCTAGATGCAGAGGATAAACCTTTGGATATTCAACATAGACACCCACAAGACTCCATGAACCCATGAATAAACTCGCGCTTGTGGGACTGGATCTGTTGGTGCAGCCTAGTCTAACTTTCATGGTTTTCGGATGCGAGTTTTGTGTCTGGGTCCTGCTCAAGAGGATACATCTTAGAGGCGCTGAGCTAGGAAGACTGCTAGCCTCGAAAGTTTAGGATCTGTGAGCCGCTCCAGCTACAACCTCCAGAGCAGAGATTTGGGGCACAGGATGTGAAACACGCTACCTGGACTGAGCTGGGCTTCGGACGACCTCAGCGCGAGCGTGATCGGGATGCACGGGTTTTCTCGGCGGGTTCTCTGCGGCCAGGCTGGCTCTGCGTGAGCCAGCCAGGGGCCGGCGGCATCTTCCCGTTCTCCTCCAGGCCCTCCAACATCCGAACTAGGAGCCCCGAGGGATGCTTGGCATTGCCGATGCGCTCGTCCATGTCCTTGAGGTCCTGGCTCTTGTGGTGCTTTCGCTTCTTCATGGTCTTGATCAGACGGTGGAGGAGCTGGTCGTCAAGGTTATACTTGCTAGCGAAGTCCTTAATCTCCGGATCCAGCAGGTCCTTGCCGATGAAGGTGCCATTATTAAGCTCCCGGATCTTAACAAGCATCACGTCCACTGCTTTCTTGTTGTTCTGGGCACCCCTTTCCATGATGTGCCACAAAACCTGCATGTCTTCGTCGAAGTCTTCACGTGTCTTCATGGCCTTGTTAAGCTTCTCGCAGATCTTGTCCTCGATGCCGAAGTGTCGGCAAATGTCTCTGACCCGCGAATCGATAGGATCCGGTGGTGGCTCGACCGTCTTCTCTTCCTGTGGTTCCATCATGTTGTTCATCATTGCAGCCATGCTCATCATGGCCATAGGGTTCATTTGCATCATTGGCATGCCCATGGCATTCATTCCCATGCCACCCATGCCTCCCATGCCGCCCATCATCGGCATGCCCATGGGCATTCCCATGCCACTCATGCCGGGGCTCATGCCCATGTTGTTCATTCCCATGGGCATGCCGGGGCTCATGCCCATCATGGGCATTGGCATACCTGAGCTCCCAGTGGCTGGAGCACTGCCTGGCATGCCACCTGGCATTGGGGCACCTCCCCCTGGCATCATGGCGTCTTGCTTGCTCGGAGGCAGTTCCGATGAAACAGGCCGGATGTCTAGCGTGTCATGTTGTGTTGGCATGGCAACTATGAGGAGTGTCTACACTGGCTATCTGCAAGGCTGAAGGCGTGTCGTGGTTCAGGTGGCATGGCGTGCCTTTTCATCCATGTGTTTGCTGCGACCGTACCGTGCAAACAGCCTCTCTCATGGCTTGAAAGTCCAGCAGGCGGATAGCAGAACTCATGTAAGGCCCTTTGCAACAAGAAGAGGGCTCCGGTGTGTACAATAGTATCATACTCTAGTTCCCTTGAGGAAATCGGCCACTAGTAATGGAAGGTCCAATGTTGATGCTTGATCGGGAGCCTCTGCACTCTTCCAGGCATATGCTTGCAAACGATACAGTACCGTTTCACCGAATAGCTTGCGACCCTGGAAAATGTGAAGCAAAAATGGAACGAATGCCAGCTGGTCCGGAAACCTAACACCTGCAAAACCGAATGCCAAAGAATCCGAAACCCCGTATACATTGACCCATGATGGTTCCTAGACTGCGAACCCAAAGTTTCACGCTGCTTTAGGTCGAACTGTGCCCCCCACCTGCGTGCTCCTCGACAATGGCAGCACTCCGCGAGGGCACTTGAGGCCAGTTCTCTTCATTCCTGGGCAGTAAAGGCTCCAGTGATACCCAAATCTAGAAATCCCGAAACCTTAAACCCTCACTTCATCCAAAAACCCCAAGCCCAGAACATCCGAAACTCCGAACCCTACTTTCATCTAAACCCCAAGCCCAGACAACCCTAAACATTGACTTCATCTTGATATCAAGCTCTGGACCTGACCCTGCACCCAAGGCTTATGGCCAATGCCTCTGCTACAACGGCTAAAACAAGCATACCCAACACGGGTAATCTAGGGTCTTATACAGTTAACATAGGGGTTCGGGGTGTATTGTACTACGATAGTAACAAGGAGCCCTGTGAAATACATCATACTAAGTGTTCAATCTTCTAGATTGTGCCACCCTTCTTGGCAAGAGGAAGAGGAGAAGCCGGTCGGCTTTATGGGTCCTTAACAGAACAGGATTCCTTTAATAGGGCTTGGGGGTATTTCCGCCATAATTGTAATGTGAACATCGCCCCGGCCCTCGCAAGTGTACGCGAGCATTCCTCTTCATCACGTGACGGTGGAATCCTGCACATCTCCCCTGTGGTTTGCCCTGGCCTTTTTCGGCCTGTGCCTGCGCAGTACAGTACGACAGCTAACAGGTTGAGATAGAATGAAAGCAAGACTGTTGGGAGCCGTGTTGCGGTGGCAGGAGGGCTGGCAACACCTGGACGTAGCTTGCAGAGGCGTTGCCTCAGCATGAGAGGTAATGCGATAATGCTGGCTGATACTGAATTCCAATCCAGATGCTGTGAAACCCTGCTAAGTCAGGAATTAAAAGTAGTATCCATAAGTAAGAAGGATATGGAGTTTCTGGGATGGGGGCTTCGATTGACATGACCACATGTGCCTTGATCCAACGAAGACACTTCTCTGACGACCCCAAGTCCAGTTCGTAAAGCCCCAGGCAGCAGTTCATCTGAACTAGGGAGCTTTCATGGCAATGCGTGCAACAGGTGTTGTGGCCTCAGAGTGCGTAGTAGGCCCTGTCTGCGATCATCGGCCGTGACAAGGGGAACGGAAACTTCATGTCGCATCGCCGTACATTTTGGTACTGCATCCTCACGTCACCAGCCTTATAGCAGTAGGTTATTCAAAAGTATCGGTCCGAACTTACCGCCCTTGTTGCGGTCGGCTTCGGCTAAAAGACTGGGATCATGTAGGACGAGCCTCCAGAAACCCTAAACCCCAACGAGGCACGGATGACGAAGCGAGGCGTCACCGTGACGCCCTTGCTCTGTGTAAACAAGCCCATCAGCGGATGAACCTGCGACACGGTTTAGGGTTTAGGGTTTACGGGCACACCATGGACTTCCGGTGCCAGGGCTGATTTTACAAAGGATCCGCTCTCAAATCTCTCAATACCTTTACAGTACCAGTACAGTCACCTTATATATATATATACATACATACACGAGCCTGACCTTGTGGTATTCGTATAATGACCTGTATCTTTGCAGACGCCAGGAGCCCTGACCCCAAAGCGAGTAGCATGCTCGTCACCCCAAAAGTCATGGCCATCCAGCATCCCAAACCCTGAACCCTAAACCCTGCTGCTTCCAGACTTTAGGGCCTGAACTCCACTGACAAATCCGGGTTTAACATACGACGACAACGACGACGACTGGAAGTAAGTCTGTCGAAACTGCCACTCGTCTCGTGTCGTTTCGCTACCAGCCTTGTTAACCAGATCGGTCTCACGTCGTATTTTGGGTATCACCTAGGTCCGACCTCTCAGGACCTGGAGCTCCAAACCCAACCCTAGAGCCCTAGAGCCCGTAAGTTCCCCCGCAGATACAAAGCGGAGTCGGCCCCCGGCCTGCACTCCGAGGAACATTGCGAGCGGCGCTTGGGGAGTGCCGGCAGTGATGATGAACTCGCCTCTCGGGCTTGCGGCTTTGGGCTTTCGAGGGCCGCTTGGGATTCAGATCCATTGGAGCGGCTAAGAGCCGACTCAGTCTGAAGAGCGGTTGCATCAGCTGCAATGCTTGAAAGACTCGCGAAAAAAACGGATTGGACAAGGAGTTTCTGGATGCGATTCTTGTGAAAGGCTTTCTCGACCGAGAATGTTTCAGCACGTGCCTTCTCCATTTCCCATGAGTACGAGCAGAACAGGTTCTGTCAAGCCATGTCAAGGAAAACGCGGTAGTCGTCATACCATCCGGTAGAGGCCCCGTGTAAGCCCTATCAACGACCACCTGCAGAACCATCAAATCGTCGCACATGGCAGCAGTGTGGGAGCCCTGCGCGGTGTCGTCGCATCAGCCATAAATAGGTACACACACACACACCCACGCATACACATGTAGAGACAAGGGCAGGCAAAAACAAACAAGTAAGTAATAGTTCGAGATGTACGTGTGTTTCTGTACATGTCTACAACACTTTGCAGTCACCCACGCGCATCCGTTCAACGTGGGATCCTGCAGCAGTTATGTACTTTTTACTACTCGTATTGTGGGGGGCCCAAATAATTGCCAATGCCATTTTGGGATTCCTTTTTTGATTCAAGATACCTGAGGCCCCCGTTATTATACTTCAGATACCTAAGGCCCCTATAGTATTATGCTGGCCGGGCCTGAACCGGGAACTTGCACAGGGATGCCGTCGGAACACCAGGCGTTGAACAAGCCCTCCTCAGATCACGGAGGCCAAGCAATGGTTCGCGAGTCTATGAGCTTCGGGTTTGGGGGTCTAGGGTTTACGCTTTGGGAGTCTAACGGATAGGGCTTTCTGGTGATAAGCTTTAAATATGTATACATGTATATATAGCCTAATTCGTTGGGGTTTAAGACTCAGGGTTTATGCGGCTACAGAGCGGCATCCTGCCATTCTCACAATGCGCCCGGTCTCCTCCTGAATTTGCGACGTGCTTGTTCCTGTGAATATGGTTTATAAGGGAGGAAGACAGCTAAGGTCGGCTCCGCGGAAATAGCTGGAGGTAGGATTGAAGCTAAAGCCCCCAAGCCCTAAACACTCGCCGTCGAACCCGCAGCTCTGTCTGCAAGTCAAGCATCTGGAATCTGACTGCGAATGCACGCCTGGCAGTTCGGCGGCGCAGCATCTATCCAATCGGCATTGAGGCATGTGCGTTCAGTGTACGTACGCTCTACTGACCAAAGCTGAGTTCAGCCCCAACACCGAGCGCTGTAAGCAAAGAGTCCCCAAGCCAAGGCACCCCGTGAGAATCATCCCAGCCCGCAGCGATGCTCGCCTCATCCTCCCGCGATCTCAGCCAGCTAGCAGCGCTCACGGCTTCAACCACCACGATCGAATCTGAAATCGCTTCAAGTTCTTTACGGAGACATTACAGGAAGTGCACCCTGAAGAGTTCCACCACAACAAGCCGCAATAGTGTTCGTATACCCTGCTGGAAGAGATTGTTGTAGCCTCCGCCCTCCCTCAACCTTCTGAAATCCCAACCTCTACTTGTCACGTGCAAGGCTGAACCGTCCGGCCCACTGATGTCCTCCGCTTTCAGTGCCGCCACAGTCTCGCGAATGTGGAAGATCCATTCGCCCTGTTCTTATGGCTTACATCACCTACGGGCCGCACAAGAACTGAGCACTTCTGGTTTACTCGACCGAAGCGAGACATGTGTGATAGCGGAATAAAACCAACGATCCCTCGGTTTTCGCTCTCGCAACTCGGACTCTGCCAGACGAGGTCGCTGTGTCCAACTACGTCAGCGCTACACCACCGCAAGCCCAGGTAGACTATGTAAAAAGAATATTAGGCCCAGAAAGGCTCTAGTGATTGCAAGGCTCGTGGGTTCTTTGACCTGTAGTCATCCACCTGCTATCGCTGTTACTGTCTAGATAGGTATAATATGGCTTAAATAGACAAACGGTGAGCCTAGAATAAGCCTATAGAATACCCAGAAAAATCAACAGCGAGCTGCTTCAGAGTGACTGTTATTGTGAAACACTTGAAACTAGGTTGAGACGCGGCTTCCATTGGAACAGAAGGATAATATCCCCACAATATCCCAAGATATCCCTGGTTTAGGGTTTAGGGATTCTTTCCCCTCTCGCATGGCTGGGGGTTTAAGGATTTGGGATTTAAGGTTTTTTGTGCAAAACTGCGCAGAGGCCCGGATGCAATAACGGTCTCGGCTTTGTCTTGGAGAAACTTAACAGAGCTACGGAGAAAGGAACATCGGCCGAAGTGAGCTCCAGCATGGTCCGACTGCTGTATATTTAAGGATCCATCTATGAGTCTATCGTGGTGACTATGGAGATAGACTCCCTCCAAAAGTGTCCTTGAGCCCGAACTGCAATCGCCAACTCCAGTTGTTCAGTTCTTCTGGCTCCTGATCTCATACCACAGCGAGCCAACGCAATTGCTGTTCCGTTGCCTCTTGTTAGCTACTTGGCAGTCTTGCTCTCAATCCTGAGCTCGGAACCTTTCTAGCAAACTTTTTTATGCACCTTGGGCATTTCTCGTTTGGAGCCTTCTGTGCCTTAAGTCCTAAACATCCCAAAACAGGCAGAGATCTCAACCCGAGCCCATCCCCAGCCCGAGGGAGCCTGTGCTTTGCGGCTGGGCGCGCGGAGGAGCAGCCGCTGACCTTCCATCGTTCTGCAAGGAGTTGTGCTTAAACAGGGTTTAGGGTATAGGGCTCGGGGGTTTAGGGTATAGGGCTCGGGGGTTTAGGGTATAGGGCTCGGGGGTTTAGGGTATAGGGCTCGGGGGTTTAGGGTTTAGGGCTCGGGGGCTTAGGGTTTAGGGTTCGGGGGTTTAGGGTTTAGGGTTACGGGTTTCGAGGATGGCCCCCTAGACCCAAAGATTTTAGGGTGTGGTTTAGGGGTTTGGACTCTCGCCACGGCGGGTTTGGGGGTTTGATGTGGTTCGGGCTTACCAACACTTACCATAGTCAGAATGATGAACATGATGGTACGACGATAGACATGCGAAGCATCGTAGTGGTGACAGTGATGATAACAATATTGACAGTGACGACAGCACAGACAAAGCACCAAAGACCGCTTGGATTTGTCCCTGGCATGCTCATGGCATTCATGTTTAGACTACTCATAATCCCTAGCATCTCCTGTGCTGGATTTCACACCGTTTAACACTTCAGCAGTTGTAAGAACGGTAATAGCTGCAGGACAAAGGTTACCTAATGACAAGTAAACCTATAGTAGTAGCGGCTGCAACGAATTGTGAATAGTCCAAAGAATCTATGCTCCTGCAAGAGACCGTCCAGAGAACACATGAGCTGATATCCTGGGGCTAGCAAATTCACGAAGGTACAGACAGAGGCTGACGCAAATCCGTCACGAGGTGCGCTAAAGCCTTTCCGTGGTGAGGTAGGGTTTGTGCGGATCAGGGTTGCTTTCGCAAACTTTTTAACACTGTATATACACCGAGCAGGCAACCTTTGCAAATTTACGCTTGTTATTCAGTCGTGCTCGCAAGCTGCCAACAATTCCGTAACATGCGGTAGGTAGCGAACAAACGAGTCAGAACGCGCAAGAAGTTTTGCCTGTTGTCCGTACTTCCCTGCGGTTTGTCCCAGTTGGAAAACTCGGCACGACGTGGTTCGGGAGTCCACATAACGAGCTCACAAGACGGGATGCGACTATAGGCTGCTTTTGCGGGTTTAGGGTTTAGGGCCTTAGGGAGCTCTTCGTACGAGTCTGCGGCCGGTTTTTCTTGTCGCGCTCGGAAGGGCCGAGCTTTCACTTTGGAAGCTTGAAGCGCAGCCTGGTGAAGTCCATACTCGTCTCGATAGCACAGATAAGAACTGATCGATCAACCACCGACTTTAAATTAGAATCTGAAGGCCCCAAGTCGTCCCGATGCTTCATGATGGCGTGACACACAAACCTACCATCATGGGTCTCTTCTCGCCATAGCTGCCATAGCTGCAGAAAGTCTGAAGTCAAGCCAAAGAGCAGCAACTTTCCCAAGTGCCGAAACTTTATCCCACTGGCATGCGGCCATGAAGTGTCATAGTACTTCGGGCAAGGCACCACGGCCCGGATCTTCGACGGTAAAGCAGTCCTGCCGTGGTGCCGAAGAAGGGTCGCAGTTTAAGATGGCTGCAAGGAAAGTTGAGGATCCAGACTACGCTCCAGGCTCTTCTTCTCGCATACTTCGGGTATGGCTACGCTCCCTTTGGTAACGAGGCCAAATAGAACCCAACACGCTAGCACCGATACCTCTTCGCGAGGCCTAAACCTTCTGATCACAGTGAACTCGACGCTTTTGGGAAGCCGATCCCCTTTTTGAACCCAGACTCTGCCAATCAGCTGGGAAGCAGCACGACCAGACTATTGCATCTGGGCGGGGAAGCCGATCCCCTAAACCCTTAACCCTAATCCTGTGTTCTAGCTCATCCCGAAACCCAGTGCCAAGAGACTCCAGAAACCCGCCGAACTCGGAAAGAACTCTGTCGGTTTAATATAGGGGCCTTAGTAATTAGAATAGGGTTTTAGGGCCCATTATACTAGGTTATGATAAGGACCCCAAAGAATGGCATATAGGTACTTATTTAGGCCTCTATATTAGCCGGTTGAGCGGTAAAAAACGAAGGTTGCGGTCTCCTTCTCCCCAGCGGCCAGGGTTGGCTCCGTGGCAGACACGGTGCTGTGGGTGCTCAAAGGCCAGACGGCCTCAAGGGTTTAGGGTTTCGGGTTCAAGGGTTTAGGGTTTAGGGTCTAGGGTTTAGGGTTTAGGGTTCAGGGGTTTAGGGTTTAGGGGTTTAGGGTTTTGGGTTTGGGGTTCAGAGGTTTCGGGTTTAGGGTCTAGGGTTTAGGGTCTCGGGTTTCGACTTTAGGGTTCAGGGGTTTCGGGTTTAGGGTCTAGGGTTTAGGGTCTCGGGTTTAGGGTTGCAACATCCGGTTTAGGGCTTAGGTTTTAGGGAAGCTCCGGATTGGCTCCGGAGGGACGAGTCGGACGAGCGCAGGATCTAACTAAGAGTCGAAGCAACCAAGGGAGAAAGTCGGAGCTTTAGCCCTGATCTACGTGGTTCGGTCCCTACATGTTGCTTCAAGCTAGGCAAGGCTTGGGCAGGCAGATGCATATAGGTTCTGGAGGCATCGAAGAAGACTCTGTCTCGGGCTTCCTGGATACAGCATTGTGTATCCCAAACACGCAACCCACATACGACCAAGCATCCAGCAAGTCCCTGCACCCAACATGCGCCCGAATGCAAACGCCAGGGAATGGGAAAATCACTACATGCCTGATGCCTGCTCCTCGAGTATGGCAAAGCAAAGCACCTCACTGATCAACTGACGTCCCAACCTTGAGAGCGCTTTACTGTAAACCGCTTCCTGATGGTCTTTGCCCAGTAGCACAAGGAGTGGCGCCGTTTGCAAAGCCAAGGCGCCTCAACAGCCGCCGCAAAGACTTGAAAGTTGCTCCGAATGGGGACTCCATGCACGCTACCCGCTACCCTACTAGGCGAACACATCTCCGGAATAAATTACAAAACCGTGAGAAGGGCTGTGAGGGGCAGTACCATTATGGCATTATGGTTCCTTCATGATGCGTCTATGAAACGTAGCTATCTCCGGGAGTGGACGAATATTGTGTCTGCGTGCCGGGGCCCACATGTGGGATCCCAAACGTGCAGGCCCAACAACCTCTGTCCTTTGTGGGGGCTCGGGGGGCCAAGTCGGGAAAAACTCTCGACTATAATCATAGATCACACTGTACATGTTTGAAGCAATGGACAAGGTGAGTGCCAGCACAAAGGATAAATAATACGTAACACCTAGAATACACGATCTATACACGATAATTGTCCATGTAGCCTCTACAACATACAGTATAAGATGTGTACACGCTATTCTATGTTATACAGAACATAAATCGAACCCAAGCTTTGCTGATCGCTGCCGGGCTTCAGCGAACCGTCCTTCAGCGTGACCTGGTGCTCAATCCAGTTGAAGATCTTGCTCGTCTCATGCGCTGCCGCTGTGACCTCGAGCGGTTTGAGGCTTAGGAGTTTAAGGTCTTTGAGGCACACTGCTCTTTGTATCCTCAGTGCAAGAAGACAATGTTCAAACCTCGTGCATCTACAATATCTACAGAGTTGTGACGAGGAACATGGAAGCGAACGCCCGCGCACAAATTAACAACGCAGAACACACAGGTCTACACGCACACATGTGCATGCGCGTACTCATTCGCATGCATGCATCGTCATGGGTTTCCCTGTGCCGTGCTGATGGCCCTCTCATGCCAGGCCACGCGCAAGCCCAGGGTTTCTGTGCAGGTTGGAAGTGTCATCTTCCCAGGGGTTGCATCGCAGGCCTGGAGGATTTTCGGTTCGGTTCTGGGCCTCGGGGTTGGAGGATAGATAATCAGGTAGTCAGTGTGGACTTCACATGCTATCACTCTTAGTCTTGCGGCTTTGCTGCCGCAGCTGCTGCTACTGCTGCTGGTGGTACTGCGGAGCTGGTGGGGATGGCAGTGTTTTGCGGTATTGTCGTCGTGATGGTCCTCATCGTCTTCATCAAAGGCACGCTATCTTCAGCTAGCTGCAGCTTAGACTTCCACAGTTAACAAGTTCATCCTTGAAACTCTATCGCCACCAGGTGGCCCTCGCGTATGCCTTATCAACTCAGCCTTATAGGCCCATGCCGAATGCCTGACGAAGAACCCATCTAACACCAGGTCAAATTTCTCTGAAGCCCTTGAAGAGTGTCAGCCTGACAGATCCGGCCTTCACTTTGCCTACGCCGGCGCGAACTTCGACCTGCGCAAGCAGGAATTCAGGTGCTTGGTGGTTCGTCCTTTCGGGTTCAGGGTTGATTGCTGAAGGCTTTACCCTAATCCCTAAACCCGGGTTTCGGGTGTAGGATGCAAGAGGCTTTTGGCGACGCAAGCCTTAAGATGGAGCGGGCTGGATTTCGACGGGCTGGGAAAGAAAGCCACTTAGGAAGCAATGAATGTTGGCTAGTCGGCACGCTAGCCACGAAGGATCTTCAATTCTCGACGAGGACGGGCTCGGATTCATTATGAGGGCTTGCGGTTTCCTTAAGTAGTTAGAAGAAGGAAACCCAAGACTATTGGTAAAGGCTATCTTCAAGTTTCTCTAAACTCCCTCGTTTTTTGCAGGACCACCCCAAGTGAGGTGTTCTTGTCGTGGGTCATGCCCAAGTTTTGCCTATCCATGGTGTTGCTACAAGTATATAACAGTTTAAAGGTTTAAGGCTTAGAGGTTTAAGGGTTTAGGGTTTTATCATCAGGCAACTCCATTTGCTTAGGTCTTGTCAAGGTCGTCCCTGGCCTCTGCTCGAAGCACTGCCACCTTCCCAGGTGCCAAGCCCCCAACAGGTGCTGCAGCGTCACCTTGTGTCCAGCTTGGGTGCCCCACAAAGTGTCAGCGGACACACACACACACACACGCGCACAAGTGATTGCATGCAAGCTGCACGTACAAAATGCAATCATACACCAACAAAGACATGTTTATTTTTGTTTCTTTATATTCACACAGGCATATATGATCCCGGTTCGGCC